GAAGAGAATTTATCGAAAGTATACGTATGCTCGCCAACTGCCCTTCTGAAGATTGGTTCTGTCGTATTTGACAGCAAAGGACAGCAAAAAATTAGACTAATCCTGATTTAGGCTAAATGAGTGCTTTAACCCTCAAAAATGTGGACCAGAAAGACAGTTTTCCTTATTGCAAGCCTTTCTCGGGATAAATCTTGCTTAGTGGATAAAAGCAACTTGATTAATCCAGGTTGAACTACTGACTTAAATGCCGCCCAGATTTAAGCATGCAGCCCCCACTATGCTGTAGACTAGATCATCACTAGGGCAAAACCCCAAAATATTTTCTTTAGCAAGTAAGCGCATTGGAGCTGAAAAGGCACCATTCATAATGTCAACCCCTAGTTTCGGTTAGTGTACATCGCTGGTTTCCTTTATGTTGACGTCTCTAATTGCACTTCACTGCTAAGTTTATCTTCCTCATAGGGCTTAGATGTTAAAGTTCAAGTGTGCATTCTCTGAACCATTTTGCTATTTTAGCATTGATTGAAGGGGCATGGAGTTACACGTGGATGGAGTGAAGTCCTTCATCACTAAAGAAGATCTGCAAACCTATTTTTCGAGATTTGGAGAGGACGAGGGTGTGATTATGAATAGGAATCCTGTCACTAACAGATACTGCGGGGATGCCTTTATTTATTTCGCATACAAATGGGACGAGGAAAGCATTTGCATGATGCATCATCACATCCGTGGCGTGCAAATTAATGTAAAGCAGTGCATTTCAATTGTTGTGGATGGAGATGACGATGAATATGACGATGATGATGACAGCGACCATGACTTTAGGTTAGATCAAATCGAGTTTTTTCTGAGATTTTCTTGTAGGAATATTACAACGTTTACTAATGCCTTCTGCAAACTGCCAAGGTTAATTTAAGCGCTTACGTACAATGCCTCTGTCATTGCAATTTAATCTTTATGGTCCAGGCATCGATCGACGATAACTTTAAGATAGTCGCCACATACGTAAACAAGTTTTTTTTTAGTTTGCCATGGAGGTTAAATATCGGAGCCCTGTAGTCCCCGAATATACGACCTATCACGTGCCACGAGAGCCCGAGAAGCCATCATTTAACGTCAATGACGCGTGCTAACAACTTCCCTGTTTTGATTTGCCATACTTTCGCCTATTACTTGTACCGCATTCCATATACCCCTCTATACCAACAAAACTCCCAAATGGTGCACTATCCAATTCTCTCTATACGCCCTGTCTCCAAACAGCCTTCCGTTTTGCATGAATGACACTTTCCAATTACGTCCATTGGTCCAGGCCATCCAGATCATACGACATAGTCCATTTGGCTTACTACCCACTAGTCGAAAAACTAATACTGTCACAGTAATAGGACAAATGTTTACCTCACTTAATAAGCAAAGTTGAGTTAAATAACGGATATCTCAGCGGTCTGGAGGGCAGTGGCAGTGTTCCCTACCTATACAACATGTAATTGAGAAAAGTGCTATCTACTGAAAACTATAAAATAAATCGGTCAAATGTGCGAATGCGAATTTTTTAACAGTGGCGTATATTTATTGCATGCCTTTTTGAATGTTATTTAAAGCATTTGATTTTATCAGCTATGTGTGCCATATTATTGAAAGATAACTCCGAATTCAAGAATGACATCGTCGTCACTTGGGCTACAAGAAAGATTTTTCGCGATGATTTTCGGACACTCTAGCGTATCGGGAAAGCAGGCGTGAGACAGTAGTTGTGAATATGTACTTGTGTGTCAACAGCGGTTGTATAAATGGTTGCATCAATCCAACAGTCCTCGGTCGAGGTAACTTGCTCCAAAGTCGTCTAAAATCACACACGACTGGTTTTTACTCTCTCTGGGATAGAACTGGACGCTTTCAACATCTGCTCTGGATACTCAAGCGGCCACAGCTACCTCTGTTTTCCGAAAATTTGGTATTTTAGCTGATAATTTTAGCGCTGCGACAACACAAGGGCATTTGAGCATTCCAGTGTGTGAGGAAAGTCGTCTCACTGGATTATGGCAACTAACTTGTGCTTCACAGTGCATACTGTCAAATAAGTAACTGAAAACTTAAGTAGCATGGAAGGTAGCAGAATGAACCTGACCTGCCTTCTTTCAGTATGCATGATTTGAAAGTGTGTGCTAAACTATAAACGAATATGTAGTCCAAATATCTGCAGAACACTTGTGGTACAAAAAAAGTTGGCTAAATGCGTAAATGGCATGCCATTCATTGGTGATATATTATAATTTGATACCAAATTTGACTGTAAACAAACTTCCTAATTTTAACTTCCATTCGTATTATTTGTCTAAATTATCTATTATTTTTGCCAATACTTAGCGTCGCACTTTCGACTTCTGCGGAACCAAATGAAACTGTAACACTTGACATCTCTGGTGCATATGAAGCTTATTGGAAAATACGGCGTTACTTTGAGCAATTCGGTAATGTCGTGAAATTATATTTGCGCAGACATCCAGTGACAAACTGGCATTATGGAAGGGGATTCGTTAAACTGCGTACCACATGGAATATTGAAACGCTAATTGCCATGGAACATGTCATTTCTGGCGTCAAAGTCCATGTGGAGTTGCCTAGATAGGATGCATATCGTCAACTCCATGCATTGAGGTGAGTTTTTACCTTCATACTCGCCATTAGAATGTGTCGTCAATTTAGCTAAATAACAATCTTCTTATAAAATAATTCGTTAATACCATTATCTAAACGGCAGTTTCTTAGCCTGTCCATTTTCATATTCGTTGTCAAACTCAAACTTAAAAAACTTACTTCTAGTTTAAATCGTAATTCGAAATCTTTTTTTTCCATTTATTCTCTAGTATTAATATGAAAGTTTATATTTTTTATAGTTAGTGAATCAAACTTCACTGATTTAGGTGAGCATCCGGAAACCATCGAATGGAAGCCATTTACCTGCTTTCACAAAAGTTATTCGAAAGAGGTATCAGTGAATTGTAATGGAACCTTTCTGTTAGAAATCCATCTGAACTTTTCTTTTAAATTCTGCGTTTCCGATGATCTGTTCAAATGTACTCTTATATAATATTCCAAAATATTTCTAATCGCCGACTTTTTTTCTGCTTTACCTCTGTTTATGTATCTGTGTTTCTTCTTCAGATGTTGTGGGCACAATTGTCCTCTGGCTAAAATAAATCAGTAATACTCACTGCATTCATTTTAGTTAGGCTGGCACGAAGATAAGGTGAAGTAATTTTAAGGTTGATTAGAGGAAATATAGGCCGATACATATAAACCGCATATTGGTTCACAGCTGCTAATTAACGCATCGGTACAGCAGAAAACTTCAAAGGAGTTTGTATGCATAATTGCAGAAACAATCGAGCAGACGCTGGTTGGTTCATAAAGTAAACATTTATGACTACTCACTGCTGCTAAGTAATATGATCACATGTGTAAGTATTACGCTTGTCCTTGGCTTATTAGCGATCCTAGAAAGTGAAACTGAGCAAAAAAGAGCATACCCGGACAAAACCTCATAGGCATTACGAATGAAAGAGAACGTTCATGAAGATAAGGAATAAGGATTGTCGAGCACCGGATCAATTTCTTTATTATCCCGAGTTTTCGAAATTTTACCGAAAACCATCCTCAGAAACATCAACAAAAGAGCGGCTGGTTATAATGTATGTAGAACAATCAACTGTGAACGGTGATAAAGTCGTGCGGGGTAAGACATCGTGATGAAATGCCAGGGAGCGGTGGAGGTAATTACAAAGGTACATGTTAATAAACTCTCAGTGATATTGACGTTCATCAGGGCGTGAGCAATGAAAATGGAGCAGTAGTAGAGGATATGGGTCACATGAACTGTTACGGAGGTTAAGCCGTGACTGCAATTTATTGCGCAAGACTTTTTAAAGAGGCACTAATTCGACACATCGGTTGATTGGACTCCCATCTGTGGACAAGACTTCAACCAATTCTCTGTTTGTCTTATTTCTGCCATGGGCGAATACCTTGACAGTCGCGAAGATGAATTCATGATGTTTTTCATAGGTGTGAGCTGCAACTTGTGACAATTTTAGCCTCGTCCTATGACCAAATTTTGTTCAGGTATGCGCGATCTGAGCATGCTTTCCGATTGGCCTGTATAGATACTGGGACGGATTGGGCATGTAATACGATACAGTATCCCAGATTGTTCATTGGGCCTAAGCAGGTCTTATATTTTCATAACCTTGTTGCGTATCGTAGCTTTGGGTCAGT